ACATCATATGCACATACGTGTCCACACATACACATGCATATATACACACAAACACACTGACACGCACACATGCACACAATACAAAACCTACAGGAATATGAAAACCACATGACTTTCTAAAGAGTGTTACTTAACTCACCTCACCTTCCTTCCTGTTTAGTGAGAAGCACTACAGTATGATTCTCACTACAGAAGCTTACAATTATGTTGCTATATGTTTGTATGCATGTGTGTATGTGTATGTATATATATATATATATGTGTATGTGTGTGTGTGTATATATATATATATGCATAAATTTGGGGAAACTTACATCAGAATGTAGTTATCGCTAGGTGGGGTCATGTACAGGTTGTGTTTATCAACTTCTTTTTGAATCCACAATGTCTACTTTTTCTAAAGTGAGGACATTAGTACTTGTGATTTTAAAAATTGGAGCTTTTTTTTTTTGCATATGAAAGAATTCATATGCAAAGAGAAATAAAGGAGTCACCAGGTTGTTTCTGCTTGCTCATGGGGGAACACCTCCATGACCACCCACACCACGAAACACAGACATTAAAAGCTGTGTCCCCACCGCCACCCCCTCCGGCTCCCACTGTCCCCACCCCCACAGGTCCCCCCAATATCCTGGAGATGATGGAATGCTGTCAGGCTGCAGCCCGCTTGCCCCAGCATCGTGGGAGCACTGTTCTCTGGCCAGATTCCATTCTCCTCCCTCTCCCCGGGGAGCTACTGTACGGTAGCAGGGGGGCGGGGACCGGCCCCCCTCAGGCTGTAATCCATAACTGAATAAAGACCCTTCAAGCCTTCCCAAGCAGAATGTGCACAGGAAACAAATTTAGGAAATCCTGCTTTCTGTTACAGGAAATGAATCCCTACCCCAACTGGTAGAAATTACTCCAGCGGCTCCAAAGTAAAACGAATACTGGCTTCTATGTGTATTCCATAAACTGACCTTGCTTTGACCAGCAGTGTTTTATTGATATAGGATTTCAAAGGTAGGATTCTAGACCCAGCCGCGTCCATGTGGAATTCCACAGTGGCTTGGCCACAGGACCGCTTTCTGAAAGATTTCGCTGGAACTCAATTTAGCCTACTTTCTGTCACGTGTTGTATTTATATAAACAGATTTGTATTTTGCGGTACACATCTTTTACTACAGTCTAGAAGGCTGGTCAATAAAATGTTAACAGTGGTTATACCTTTTGTTGGTAGGGTTATAGTTTACTTTTTTTCCTCTTCTTATATTTTCATATATTCTACCATAAACATGAAATAACTGTGCAATAAAAAATAAGACTGGGGAGCGGGGAGGGGAAGATACCAGTAAGGGAATACTGACCTCTGTGAAGATACCAAAGGCCCAAAGAAAACACCTTTTTAATTCATTACTCAGAATCTTAGAAAAACAAGACAGATCTAAAGCCCAGTGCAGTTTAATGCACAGAAGACATGAAGGACTATTCACTTCAAGAAAAAGGAGCTAAGAAGCACAAAGCATTCCATGGAAACATCTCTGAACAGCCTGAAAACAAATATATAGAAGTTTGGTGGGAGCAGAGGGCTTTGGGACCAGCACTGAAGACCCCCACCCATGCATGTCGATGGCCAATAGGTAAGTTAGGAGCTCGGGGGGCACGAGCAATGACTGATCAGGCCGCCGACATCTGGAACTTGTTCAAATTCCATCTAATACCCATACGCTGCTGGTTCCCAGTCCACAACAACCAAGCATCTGACCCTCTCTCACATCCACCATTGAGTGGTACTGGCCTCCCATTCCCAAATGGAAAAGCAGGATCTGACAGACTACACCTGGTGAAGAAACGATGACAAGTCTCGAAAGGGTTTGGAGTCTATGGCCCAAATGGAAAAAGGAAGATTCAAAGCTATACCTCTATTAAAATTCCCTTTTTTTTTTTTTTTAAGAAAAATGTATAAGATATTGGAAGGCTGTGATCAAAATGTTGTTGGTGGCCTGTGAAAACAGTGGTTTAGCAAAATGATGGAGTTGGGGCTCTGAAAACAAACTCCCTGGGTTAGAACCCTGGCCCTGTCATTTAGGGGGCTGGTGTTACAAGATTCGTTAGCAAGAAAAAACGGTAAATTTACCATGAGGAAACCTTGGAGACGCCACCTTGGTCCAGTGGCCAATGTTCACAGCGCCGAGAGTGGGGCATGTCAGTACCATGTGGCTCCTGGTCACATCAGAGCCCAAAACGCAGCGCCTGAGTCTGCACCGTAAAAAAACGTCCTATGGACGGACCCCAATTGAGAGACATTCTACAACACAATTGGCCTGGATTCTGCCAAAGTGTCAAGGCCACGAAAGTCAAAGAAAGCAGAGCAACTGTTTCCAGACCACAAGAAACTTAAAAGGCGGGACAACTGAATCCAGTGTGGACTCCTGATCTGGGAAAATTCTTCTTTTGCGGAGGTAAAAAAGTAAGTTAGTGGCACAGTGGATGAACTTTGAGTAAGATCTGCAGGTGAGATAGTCAATACTAATACGGTACTGACGCTCACTTCCTGGCTCTGATTCATGTCCTCATGTTTCAGGAACAAAAGTAAAATATTTTCAGAGTGAAAGGGGATGTCTGCAGCTTACTCTTCAGCAATAAAGGAGAGAATGATAATGAAAAGGTGGGAAAATGTTAACTTTTGAGGAACCTGAGTGAAGTTCTGGCACGTGGGTATTCTTTGTACTAATTTTACAACTTTTCTGGAAGTATGAAATTATTTCAAAATAAGAAATTAAAAAAAAAAAACAGGTGAGGGGTGGCTGGTTAGCTCAGGTGGTTAGAGTGCAGCGCTCGTAACACCAAGGTTGTTGGTTCGATCCCCTCATGGGCCACTGAGTTGCGCCCTTCACAACTAGATGGAAACAACTACTTGACTTGGAGCTGATGGGTCCTGGAAAAACACACTGTTCCCCAATAACATAAATAAAAATAAATAAATAATACAAACAAAAAAAACAGGTGACTTTAGGCTAAATGTTTAAACCTCTCTATCTCTGAATTTTCTCTTCTGAAGGTGGGGACAATACCAATGCCTCTTTGTTGCTGGGAAGATAAAATGAGATAATATAATATACAGAACGTGCTTCAAATGGGACCTGATGGGGACCAAGTGCTCAAAGAACGTTGCCTATTGTTACCCTTTACGAGTGAGACTGTAATTGACTCATTTTCCTTTTTATAGTCTCCTGCAATTTCCAAATTTTCTACCCTAAAAAAAAAACCTGCTTTCATAATCAGAATAAAAATTTTTTGAAGGAAGAAGCAAGGAAAACTGGAAGGAAAAATGGCCAAAATGTTCACAGACTGGTGAAACACAGACCTGTGTCTGAATTACATTCAGGTCAGGGAGACAAAGGATATGTGATACTATTTTCATGCTGGGCTAGTTCTCTGCCTACACATATGCAGAGGGCGTTCCTATCACATGACACCTTAACAGGGAAAGGAATCAGGGCTTGTTACAGAAAACAGTAAAGGGCCAACTGTGCTCTCAGGCCCTCTGCTCTTGAACATGCAATCAAATGAATCCTTTTGGTATTAACTAGACAATAGGCTCAGATATGAACAGCAACTTAAAAATAATGTGGCTTATTGGGCTTCATCAATATTAGAAACTTTTGTGTTTCAAAGGACACCATCGAAAAAACGACAGCCTTCAGAATCAGAAAAAATATTTGCAAATCTTGTGTCTGAGAAGACTTATAGAGGACACATTAAAAAAAAAACTTTATAACTCAATGACAAAAAGACATGACACAACTGAAAGTGGGCAAAGGATATGGATGGGCATTTCTCCAAAAAAGACACACAAATGGCCAGTAAGCCAGTAAAAAGATGCTCAGCATCTTCAGTCATCAGGGAAACACAAATCAGAACCATTCACACCCACTAGGATGGCTAGGCTCAAAAGGACCAACAATGACAAGTGTCGGCAAAGATGTGGGGACACTGGAACCCTCATATGTTGCTGGTGGGAGTGTCAGATGGTAGAGCCGCTTTCGAAAATAGTTCCTCAAAAACTGAAACAGACTTATCACATGACCCAGCAATTCCACTCCCAGGTATGCACCAAGAGACAATAACATGTGTCCACTCAAAGACCTGTACACAAATGGTCATAGCAGCATTATCTGTAATAGCAAAAAAAAAGGTATATGTGTATACACACACACACACACACACACACACACACACACACACACATCCAAATGTCCATCACCTGATGAATGGATAAACAAAATGTAGTGTTAACCAGACAACGGAGTATTATTCACCCACAGGAAGTCATGAAGTTCTAATGCATGCTCCAACATGGATGAATCTTGAAAACACATGCTAAGTGTTTCATACAATATGGGACCTCTTGTGTCCCATACTGTATGTTTCCATCTGTATGAAACGTCCAGAATAGGCAGCTGGATAAAGATAGGAGGAGGTTAGTGGTTGCCAGGGGCTGGGAGGTAGGAGGCAGCTAGGGGGGAAATGGGTGTGGAATGCTTCTTTTTGGGGTAATGGAAATGTTCCAAAATCGAACTGTGGTAATGGTTGCATAACTCGATGAATATACTTAAAAAAAAAAACAAAGACAAAAAAACAAAAACATTGCACTGTGTATGTTTAACGGGTGACTCATGCATGGTATGTGGATTTTATCTTTAAAAAGCTGGGGTTTTTGTTTGTTTTGTTTTTTTAAGGGGGTAGGATTTAAATGGGACCTTGTGTCCACATGGGCTGCCACACCAATTACAAACAGACCTCTTGCTCTTTCGTAAGTCAAGGCAGATCCCAAGTCCATGCCTAGTTCTTCTAGGGAAGATTAATTCCCGCACGCAATTGAAAGCACATCCCCCTAGCAGCTCGGCATCCCCCTGGCTGCTGGCTGCTGGCTGCCCTGACAGGTGGCTGCCTCCCGGAGCCGCACCTGGAGCACGAGAAAGATGGACAGAGCATCTCTGCGCCTGTGCGGAGTTTACCTCATCCGGGCTGGACGCCTGGTACACACGGCACGAATCTTCGTACTGCTTCTCGGCCTCGGCCTGGTCGGTCACGCCATTGGACTCGTAGACGGGAGTCACGTTGTGACAGAGCGCGATGGCCTTCACGGCTTCGTGCACACGGCTGCTCATGGTCCGACGGACTTTGGTGGTGATGGCGGGGCCCTTCTGAGCAGGTGGGTCCTGGGGTTGCTGGGGAGGGAGAAAGCAACAGGAAGATGACCAGATGGAACGGGAAGGTCTCGGACGTGTTGGAAAACCACCAGGCAGAGTTACTGCTTTTCTTACTAGGGCTCTGTAACGCTCAAATATATCTACAGTGATATAAATGGCATGTAATTTTTAGGGACCCAACCATTTATGCTTGGCAAAAAAAAAGCAACATAAATAGAGGGAAAAATTACAATTCAGTGAAGTCTACCTGTGAATGTGTGAATCTGTCTTCCTTTGGGTGGGGTTTGGGGAGGGGGGCTCCGCAGAGTGAAGGTCCCACCATACCAAAAGCAATCCTGGTGTCTGAACCAGGGCTTCTCAGCATCGGCACTACTGACATGTGGGGTGACAATTCTCCGTCGTGGGGACAACTGTGTGTCATAGGATGTTTAGCAGCATCGTGGCTTTCCACCTGATAAGATGCCAGAAGCATCTCCCTCCCCCAGCTGTAAAAACAGATGTTGCCCGAAGTCCCATGGAGACCAAAAGCAGTCCTGGTTTAGAACCACTGTTTTCAATGTACAATCTTTGGTTTAAAATAAAAGGCAACAACTTCAAACAACGCTCTACAGCAGTAACAACCATCAGTAACACATAACCCAAGGCAGGGCCAAGGAGGTGTACCAGTGACAACCAGAGGGAAACCTGGCCAGAGGAACACTAGCTAGCACCTCGCTTAAGGCAGATTTTCAAGGGTAATTTTAAATGTGCTCAATTTTTGCCTTCTATGCTGACTTCGGCCCCTTAACCTGTCCAAGCAGCTGTTCCACTGCCAACACGGCCCTCACCCATCCTTTTGTTCATACCTTTCAACTCATGGCCGGCCCTCCTGAATGGGTTAAGTCTTGGGGGAAATGGTTTCAAGCAACGTGGTAAGAAGAGTATTGAAGGTTAAGAAATCTAAGCTTTCTTCTTAGATGAGTTGTGAACAGTTGTGTGACCCCCAGCAAGTCACATCTGCTCTCTGGGCCTCAGTTTCCTACAAATGAGAGAGGTGGGCTGGCGAGAGGGGGGTGTTCAACCCACACTCCACATCCGAGCAACAGGGACCCCTCAGTACCACCCAGTATGGACGGCAAGCAGCCCACTCCAATGCGTGTTACACAGCAGGTGCCGTGAAGGCCTTCCTTTGAAGTCAAGGCTCTATTGCCTTGAAATATAATAAAAAATTAAGACCACTAGAAAAAGGCCACTTGTGGGGCCGGCCGAGTGGCTCAGTTGGTTAAGAGCTCGCTCAAGAGTTTGAGCTCTGAGCAACAGCGGTTCGAGTCCAGCCCGAGCTGAGCAGCNAGTCCAGCCCGAGCTGAGCAGCCGCTGAGCTGCCAACAGGTAGCAGGATGGCTCAGCTAAAAAAAAAAAAAAAAAAAAAAAAAAAAAAAAGAAAGAAAAAGGCGACTTGTTAGCAGTGTGTGGCTCACTGTTCAGTAAAACTCAGGTGCCCTCCCATGGGCCCTGGGGCTCCCCTGATTAGCTCCTGCCCACCTCTGCAGCCTCCCTTCCCGCCATCTTCCTCTTTGTCCGCTCTGCTCCAGCCACGCTGGCCTGCTCTTTGAACACTGCGGAGCTTCTTTCCTGCCGCAGGGCCTTTGCATCTGCTGCACCCTCTGCCTGGAATGCCATGTCTGCAGGGCTGGCTCACTCCATCTCATCCCTGAGGTCTCAATTTCAATGTTACCTCCTCCCAGAGCCCCCTAATTCACGTTGCCCCACTTGCCCTCCCCCCCAAAGTCATGCTTCCACATTTCCCAGTCCTGTAGTTACTGTCCTGTCTAAAACCGGCCTGTTTACCTGATGATTCTCCTGTTAGGCCATGAAAAACAGCTTGACGGCTGCATCTCTTAATACCTAGAGCAGGAGATATTTACTGAACAAATGAACAATTTAATATTAACGTCCTGTAAGGACCCCGACCCTACCATCACCTTAAGCTGTTCATTTGTGAACACTTGACATGAATTTTTTTTTCCGTCTCCAATAAGAAGTAAATATCAAACTGACCAACACCGGTTCCAGATTTTAAATCATGGTTTTGGACAAAGGACCTGTCATACATAGTCATCCTGTCTCCACAGCTGAGTCCCAGAAGCTGGAAATGTTACAGACTTTTACTGGATGCTACACTCCATTAAAAACATACTTTATCCAACAGAGGAAAAAGCGATCTGGTCTTTTAGAACAAATCGCATCTTATACCCATGAACACAGGTTTGCCCAAAATAGAGAACAGATGGGTTACGAAAAAACAAGAAAATGACTTTCATTTCATTTTTAATACTATTTTTAGCAGTGGCATTAGACTCCTCAGGTAATTAGACAATTACTAAATTATTCTGGTCACGCAGGCACACACACTGCTCCAGCTTCCTGCTCTGTTAACCTCTGGTGTCAAGAGGACACGGGTTTCACTTCCAGGCCAAAGGGCACTGCATGGTAACAATAATTAGAGTAATGAATCACAACTACAGTTTAAATGAATCATTATTTGCCAAGTGCTTTTGATTACAAAGAATTCCACTCTAAAATTATAACAAGGATTGAAGATTTACAGAAAGGTTCTCTCTCTGCGGGAGAGACGAACTCAAGAACGTTTTTTTTTTCTAAGTTCTGTCATTTATGTTCTAGCCACGGGTGCATGTCTTCATTTTTCCCCACGTTCCTCAGCACCTGGACCAAATTATGATTGAACATTAGGGGCAATAACAAGACCTTTGACAAAGTAATTGCTTTGGCCGGCAAGTTTTAGTAACTGTGGGTTTGCATGAAAGGCCGCATGAAGGGCACCTTTCACAAACCTTTGGATCATATAAGCCATCTGATTTTGTGCCTACAGAAGTCAAACACTTCCACGAATAGCTCAAATGTGGGGTAACACAGAGCTCTGGGGCTTTGGATTCCAGGTAACACCAGAAACACAGGTGGACGGCCCGATTTTCACCAGGACCTCACTTTTCAGATCAGGGAGCCGTTTGACAACAAATCGGAAGATGAGGGTGCTTGGCCCCAACCAACATCACAGGCGACTGGTTTAATATCTCCACGTTCATTTACTTCTCGCTTAAATGAATACGTCTCCCCTTTCTCACTGTTTCAGGGAGAAGGGGTCATCATAACCATCGATTCTGAAATCCTCTTTTAATTTTCAAAGAAAAGGCTCGTACGCGCCGCGAATGGTAATCCATATAATCATTAAGGCCTGGCAATTACCAGGGGCTCGGCTCGTATTAGTATTAGGGCCTGTCTTCAAACATCCTCACATTCCCCATATGGAAGAGTTTCACGTTGTACAGTGTTTATCTCTAGCCTCCTCCCCATAGGCCCTTTAACCCACACACATTTCTTCTTACTTAAAAAATACCAGGGGAAAATAAAAACAGATGTGGTGTCCACAGAGGCAGGCTCCGACTCTTTCTGCCCTGGGGAAAAACCACGGGTCCCTCTTAAGGAGGGAGGCGAAACAGCTCCCCGTGAGGTCAGAAGTTGGAACAGGAATCAAGCTCTCCATGTACAAAGGGCCTCGGGCCCTTGGGTGGGTATCTCGCACCATATCATGCTTGGGACTCATTGCACGGCGTCCCAGCAGCCAAATGAGACGGGGCGAATCGATGCAAAGTGGGCCTCTGTTTCCCGTTAATGACCCATGGCAGGGGCATTTCCCAGCGAGGACTCCCGTCTGCATATCAGGGAAGATTGGGACACAAATTAAACATTGAGTCGCCATGAATATCAGTTTTCTTTCTAAATGCAATTAAAACTTCACCATCACTCACGGGCATTCGTAATATCAGTGGATATGATGGAAGGGTTACAACTGGGAAAAACACACTGTTGACAGAGAAGGAATTCCTGTTTCCATAGCCCTTCTTCACTCCCCAAATAAAGCGCAAAGCTGATAATTCATTAACCTCAAAGGGGCCCCCCCTCTGCGCTCCCCCGCTGAGACAGGCTCAGAGCTCCCACTTCTAAAGGAATCAGCCAAGTGACAGGCTGATTGTGTGACTGAATAAATAACGTTTACTATTTAATGGTAGGCATCTTAGAGCGTGACAAAGGCAACACATCTCAGTTCCTTGAAACTGAACCCCATGTAACACAGGGGTTCTCAACTTGGGGGATTTTTGCCCGCCATTTGGCAATATCTAGAGATGTTTTTGGTTGTCGCAACTGGGGGAGGGTGGGGGGTGGAAGGGTGTCACACAGACATGTAGAAGGTAGAGGGCAGGGACGTTGTAAAAATCCTACGATGATAGGATGGCCCTCACAACAAAGAATTATCCAGCCCAGTGTCGTATGCTGAGGCTGAAAGCCATGCTATAAAGCCACTGACACCATAAAACCAGGGCCAGGAAGCGCGGCGGGGGTGCCTAACTGCAGGTTGGATCCTGTCAATTTAACATTTCAGTAATGTGTTCATCTTGGGTTTCTGCATTAATGTTGAGTTTTTAGAATGTTGCATAATATGATTTATCTTAATCACTGCAGGATTTTTTGGCACCCCATTAACTTGTGCTCCACGAGTATGTACTTCACTCACTCTTCTTACCCTAGCCTTGGCCCTGGTATGAAACCGTTAAAAATGATTATAATCATTTATATGAGTCAGAAAAAGGAAGCCGGACAGTGTTCGTCTAACAGTGGTTCTTAACCAGAAATGCTTCTCAGAATAACCAATAGATATTTTAAGAAATACTATATTTGGGCCACTCCACCCACACACCTAAAGAACACAATAGGCCCAGGCATACGAATATAGTATATATATTTAACTTTACATGAAATGCTGATGTTCAACTGTAGTTAAAAAGAATTATGAAAATAGGATGCCTTCTTGTTGGTAAAAACAAACAAACAAACAAAAAACACATGTAACACACACACACACACACACACACATACAGAAACAAAGCAGACATTTCTCCAGACACAGAAGGCAGAGAATACTTTGGCATTTTAAACACTCAGATGTTAACACTGGTTATTTC